GCCGGACCAACCCCTCCAGCTCGGCCTTCTCCCCTCCCCAGGGCGGCACTGGCTTTGCGGGCTCTGGCGTCAAGCTGCAGGCAGAGAAGTCGCGGCCAGTGATGCAGGCATGAGCGCTGGACACCAATAAGTGGGCTCGGACGCAGCTGCTGGTGCTGGGGGGACGTGGAAGATGAACCCGTGACCCGCAACCATCCTCCAGCATCGTGCACCCCTGAGTGACTCAAGTCTGAAAGCGCAGACGAAGCTACTTCCTGTAATATCACGTAGGAAGCTACTTCCTGTAGTATCACGTTAAGAGTAAAACCTGAATTGAATGCAGACAGATGTGTTAAAATTGGTAAAAGTGACCGGAATTCAAAGTCGGAGCTGCGACCACGTGAGGGCTCAACTTTAATAGTTAAATAGAAATCCTCTCACGACCTTTTGAGATATCCCAGAGTAAAGTCAGGTGAATCAGGACCCCCCTCCCCCACACTCGAGGTGAAGAGCAAGAGGAAACCGCAGGTGCAAAGGCCCAGAGGCAGCGAGCCCGGGAGCAGGTGCGAGAGGTCAGAGGCGTCGGGCCTGCTGGGCTCAGGCTGACTGGGCAGTGCGGCTGGCCTCACAGCTGTCTGTCATAACCGTCAGACCACAGGAGCAGCCCCTGGGCCGTGTGGAAACTAGGCCTCCCCGGTGCAGAGTGGACAGGAGAAAGCCTCACCTGCCGCCCCCAGCCCACCACACCTTTCCTCCCAAGTCTGCCGTGTGCTCACACCCAACCAGAGCCAGGCCCCGTGCCCGCATCCTGTCCACCGGACGGTCCCCACTTTCCACTTCAGTAAAAGGTGTCAGCAAAGGACAGAAGTGGTTCGAGGAGCCAGGAAGTGGCCTTGACCGCTGTTTTCTCAGGCGGCGTCTGGGGCACGGCCAGGTGGCGCACCTGGCTGCTGGGGGAGGATTTAACTCAAGAGTTGGTGGTGTCAGGCCTGGGAGTCCCTCGAGGCCAACGTTTGCTTTCCTAGATACTTCTAGAATCTTCCCTGTGTCTCCGAGGGCCTTCATACTCTACTCTGGGCACAGCTTGAAAGACATACTAAAAAGCCAGATGCAAAAGGTCACATTAGGGCCCCTCCTGTTGAAAGCACGGCACGGTGCAGCTGTCCACAGCCACCGCAGCATGTGTTCGATCCCCGGGCGGGGCGTGACCCGCAGCGCGCTGCAGACCTCTCCTGTCTTCCCACTGCTCCCCTCAGCAGTGTATCTCAGTGGATCTGCCTGTTCTGCCCCACTCTGTCTCTAGTGAATCCTCTCACCTCCCCACACACATTTCTGGCCTGTACCCCAGTTCTAAAATGCATAAATAAATAAACCTTTTAAAAAATAAATAGGCAAATGATTTCAAATGCTATTTGAAATCTGGAGAGTAGTTAGCCTGGATGAGGTCACTTCCCCATCAGGGTGGGAGGTGACTTGATCTGTGCAAACAGCATGAATGCAGCTGCACTGACTTGGTGGTCCAGCCTGGCACACCCCTGGACTGAACAGTGCAGCCTGTTGGGGTACCTGACAAAGGCCATCAGTGCCTGGCAGCGCCATTAACTCACGACTCTATTACTAACCTTGATTTAAAAAGACAAGTGGAGGTGTTCTTTGTGCGGAGGTAAATTTGGTGGAAGTAAGACTTCGATGTTAGTAATGTAGCATCTTGTATATTTCAAATGTTTTTATCTAAGTATATCACCAAGTTTTTTTAAATGTTCAAGATGTCAAGATTGATTGATTTATACACACAGGAACTGGGCTGCAGGCCAGAGGTGCAGGGGGTGAGAGGATTCACCAGACAGAGTGGGGAGAGGAGTACGCGGATCTACTGAAACACACTGCTGAAGGGAGCATCGCCGGAGGCCGCGGCATGTGGGCAGCTGCCTGGCCGGGGATGGAACTCTGGACTCCTCCGTGCTGCAGTGGCTGTCACTTTCAAGGCGCTGAC